TTTAAAAAAAAAAAAAAAAAAAAAAAAATCCCTTGATCACTTGACCTCAGTTTCCTGACTGTCAAGCAAACAAGGGTATTTCACTGATTCCACAGCACATCTGCATGGCACAAATAGGAGGTGACAAGAATAATTCCCCATTGTGACTCCAGGGCCTGCTTGTAATTCTCGTGTCAGTTCAAAGACAGTTCCTGCCTTGGTAACATCTACTCCAGTGAGATCCAGATTCCCTTTATGAGGTCCTGTGCCAACACAAAAAGAGGCTGCCAGCTCTCCTGACCATGTAGTGTCTAAATAGTTGAGTCCCTCCTCAAAGAAAGCAAAAGACCCATTTTACAGATGGGCAGCTGAGGCAGAAAGGGGCACAAGGCTAGATGATCAGCGCTGGTAAATTCACCTATTTCTAATGAAGCACAGAATTCAACGGATCTGTGCTCAAAACCAGATCCTAAGCAATCTGCCCAGGGTCATATGGGGACCGCTTGCACAGCCAGGGATTTAACCTAGATGTCCCATGCCTAGGACCTGGCCTGTCTGCACTCCACCCTGACCCCAGATGCTGCCTGCTTTCTCCTCTTCTCTCAAGCACTCTGTTCCCTCTTTCCCTAGAGACACCAGGTTTCCTCCCCAATCCTTCAGGAGCCTGTTCTCAAAGAAGACTCCTTGAGATTCAGAGAATCATCGAAAATGAAGGTAGGAGGGAACCTCACATCTAGTCCAAACCCCTGCTCAAAACAGGACCAGCCCCAACCAGATCATCCCAGGCAAGGTCTTAAAAACCCAGGTAGAACTGCCTTCTCTCCCAAATCCTCCTGGAGCTGCTAATGCAACCCACCTAGCGAAAGCTTGCCTCAAATCTGTGAGTTTAAGATAGGGACTGGCAGTACACGAGATGGTTGTAGCTCCAATTTGTCCTAAGCTCTGATTTCCCCTTCCTCATTCTTGGCAAAAACTCTACCATCACCCCATACATCTCTGAAAACCCACAGATGTCATAGCTGTGGTTCAATGGTCCAAGAGGTTGAGCCATCAACTCAGAAAGGTTAGGAGAGTGCCAGTGCTACAGCTAATTCCCTTCTTTATTAATAGATACACTAATTACACAACATTGGTGGTAGGTGGCAGGAGGAGGACTGGAACAGGGTGCACGGCTAGCATTTAGGTATCTGCAATTCAGTTGAAGGGTTAACGAAAGGCCCACCCTGAATCTAGGGGAGCATTGAAAGTAAGAGGCCTAACAACATACGAAGGGACTAGACATCACATCCTCTTCAAACGGCCAGATACTTGGTTATGATTGGGACAAGCCTGAGTTTGGAGCAAGGTTCAAACTCATCGCTCTGGATGCCACAGTGAGACTCACTTCTCCAACCCCCCAGGCTTTATCAGCCAGTTGAAAATTAAGCTGTTTCTCAGAAGCCTGATGGACCGCTAAAAGGTTATGCAAACTGTGCTCCATTTAACGAGGACACAGATGAACTGCTCTTTGAGCCAGGTGTTACTCATTTATATCTTCAGCCCCCTGGCAGCTGAACAGCTGGACTCATGCACCACTGGCCTTCAGGAGGCAAATGGGTCTTCAGAGTGAGCATGCCTTGGCTTTGTCCACAGTGGGTTTATGCATACACTGCTGCCGCTGTCAAGTGATCGGTAGGATGGATGAAACCTAGGAAACTATGCAAGTTGGGTGACAGCTCACGTGACAAGGGGAAAATTGAAGCTGCCCTGTTAAAACAGCGCAGCAGGATATGAGCCATACAAGCTGACTGTGGTAGGAGAGCCAAGAGCTGTTTATTTTACAAACCCTAGCTGTTAAACTTATGAATCAGGACAGTTACAGAATTATTTTTCATCCACCAAGCTGAGGTTTGACATAATTCACACGCACAATAGAAGGCAAGCGATGCTGCTGCTGAGTTTGGCTGGATTAAACATGCATCAGGACAGCGGTTTCAGACACCTTCTCTCATAATCACCGGTCCTCTACCCAGACTGAAGACTTACTCTGGGCAGACTTACTCTGTTGCCTTTGATGGGGGAGAAAACTTGGTGTTTTCAGAATATGTAGCCATAGAGAAACAAGGAGCCATTGTGGCTTAATTAATTAATTGCTCGTTAAAGCTCTTTGCAGCCCTCAGATGAGAAGTGTAAAGTGCTGTGTTTATGACTGGGGTATTTCACTGATTCCACAGAAACTTTAAATGGGTTTCCACATGAAAGTCGCTCTCCAGAAAAATAAAATCAGTTAGTGTGCCCGTGAACTTGGGAGCCAGCTGGCTGCATGGATTTAGGGAGTTAAAACACACAGCTGAAGCACACTTGTTTTTCAGAAGGGATTCGTTACTCTTAAGATTGTTATAGTTCAATGTTTTGAGTAAAGTAATGGCTCATTGCTCTCACTTGGGGAGGGGCTAGGCGTTATAGATACTTAACGGCATGAAGCAGCCCCTGCTTCACAGAGCTCATGAACTACATGCACCATTTATGTCCCAAACAGCCTCCTTCTGCATAGTCTGAATTTATTTCAGAGAAGAATGAAAAACTGTTTAGTTCATGAATCTTCCTTTGGGTTCCACACTGATTTTTGGGAAAAGAAACCAATTCACAGTATTTATATCCATCATGAAGGGAAGGGGATGGGCTTCTTGGTATTACTTACCTTACTTCTAAGACCCCCTGCCAAGCAACAAGCATCATCACTCACTTCATGCCCCTCACATGCTGAAAGATGTTGCATGGCTGTCAAGAGTGGGGCTGGGTGTGACCAGCCTTGCGTTAAAAGCCAGACCAAGGCCAAGATCCTGGTTGTGTGACAAAAAGCAGCCCTGGAGCACTTTTTAACAAGTAGCATGTCCAGGATGAGAGCACGTAGTGGTTTCGGGACTGCTGCGGAGGTGCTACAGATGCATCTGAGGAAGCCGAAATGGCTTTTAAAGATGCAAGCTAAAATGGTAAAAACCCTTTTCATTGCATGCCCATTGAGGGTTCAAAGGACTGAAAATCTGAGTAAAACAGATTTCTAACCTGTTGGTTAAGAATTCAAGTAGCCTTGAAGCATTATGCTATGGGACAGATGATCAGGCAGATTGTACATTGTGCAGTCTTCCTTTGACCAAAGGTGGTTCAGCTCCATCTAGATATGAATTCATTTTTGAATATTTGGGATTTTCTTTGAGTAGGAAGAAAAAAAAAAATACCCCTGTTAAAATAAAATTCTCTATTACATTGCGGTATGCATGATAAAAATAACCACTTATACAGCTTTGGTAAGACCAAATGACCAGAGAAGCAGCTTGCTATTCCAAGATATTTTAATAAGAGTAAAGAATAAATTACAGAATCAAACTGTGCTCCAAGCTGAGGAATTCAACCAGACAACAAATATCCAAGTCTACAATAGTTCACTAGTGTTGTGATGATATCAGAACGATTGTGTTTACATATGATCACAGCAGACCAATGCAAACACACGATACGGAATTAAGTGCTGCAACTTAAATTAAAGAGTAGTGAATGATACGCCATGACAAAAAAGGAAAAGGCAGATGCAGTTAAATACACGTACTCCTGATTTTGGCAATCCTGATCTGGAATCCTTCAGGCAAGGAATCAACTTCAAATCAGCACCAAGTCCAAAATTCCCTAATGCAGAAAAGTACGTTTTGTGCAAAGTGCGTTTCTAAACTAGTTCAATAAAATAGTCTTGTAAACATATTTTCCTCTCACGTTAAGACAGGGGTGACTTGGGACATTTAAAAGGAACAAGAAACGGATACCTCAGACAGTATACTTTACCATATGGTATGTACTTCATTTATCCATTTCACATGGCCTAAATATCACTATATTCAGAAACATGTAGCAAGGCATGAATGCATGCCATGGTCACAACTTAGGAAATGATCAAAATATTTTCAATGCAAAAATACAAGTCACTCGAAAATTAACAAGCTGTTACATTGAAGTATGTTGTCTGCAAGATTTAAGTCCGGGGCAGTTACTAGATAATCCTTCAAAGACGAGCAGCATTATTCTGAAAGGTGGACAACTCCCTGCCACGTCAGTAGGAGTATCCATTTCAAAATGTCTGCATGTAAAAAGATTGCACCTGTAAAACTGCATGCTGGATCTGCAGAAAATTCATTGGGTTATTTGAAATTACAAGGTTTCACAGTTTTATTGAAAGCAAAGTGACTGGCGGGCTGTAAGAGAGAGAAAAGTGAAATGCATAATGGTAAGAACGACTCAAGCGCTCCATTATAAGCAACTGATAAACTACATGGGACCTAGTTTATGCAATGCTTCTGCCTTGAACTGTAATAAATAACAGCTATATCATAAATTTACTAAAACCAGTAGTTTAGATACAATATTTACAACCGTTCCCTTTTTTTTTTTAACCACATTGCAGTAACACCAAAGACTTTCCTTCACAGGAACTCTTGTCCCCACATGTCATAGCTATTAAAAAGAAATAACAGACCAGAGGAAGGGTTGTCCGATCACATTATTTCCCTAATTATCAAGGGGCACTTGGAACATCTTCAGCATTGACCAGTTGACATTGAACCTACAGACCTGGGATACAGTAATGATGCTCCAGATCTTTAGGGTCATTAGGGTTTCTTCTTCTGTATTCAAGATGGGTTAGAGAAGACAGAAACAATATCCCTTGTGCCAAGGAGAGTCTGTGTCAATCCATCATATGTCCGAAGGGCAAAAAACCTTATGATGACCCAAACTTGTTCTACATAATCCAGGATCCCTGTGGGCAGACACGATGTGCTCCAAGAGACTCACAAGCTAGATTGGCATGCTTCAGGCAATTCTAATGCAACTCAATTATAATGCTCTCTGTCCTTGTGACGATGGCAGCAGGCATTCAATATAAAGGTCAAAGTAGCAGTACATGAACATGAAAAGGTCAGATTTCCCTTTTGGGAAAGGGAAGCACCTGCTTTGCTTCAACACTTCTGCTCGGTAAGCACCTCATTAAATAGACACTTACCTGGAGATAATGCTCAGCTGGATTCTGCACTGAATGGAAACCTCACCGATTCACGCAGGCAATGCGTTCATCCCTACTCACTTCCCGAAGAGCTGAAAGGTTGTGGTGAGCTCTTGTACTGCTTAGATTTCTCTACCCTTACCAAACACTGTACCAGGAGGCAATTAAAACCATGCATGCACAACACACAGATGGTTTTCAGCATCTTGAATCATCTTGTTCACTTAGCTGCTAATCTGTGAACATACAGTAATTTGCAATGGGGCACCTGACATTTAGTGTTGTATAGTGCGCTCTGCATTCATCTCTTGGACAGCTAACAAAAGTGACTGGGGTGGCATTGTCTCAAATAGCCTCCTTTGTGCCTCTTCTACTCCTAATCTTCAACTCTGGCCAAGTTACTTTCCAAATGCAGTAACTTAACCTACAACACAGTCAAATCTGATGAAATCGCAGCCTTTTATAACTATTTTCTGCAGCACAGATTTTACTGTCACTGTTTCACCAGGATTCAAGGTTTAGGCCTTTTTCATCCTAAAACAGTCTTTAAGAATGTCCCTTGTCTGAACGTCTGCATAATGCCCTCCCCCCAGAAACTCCTCACTAGCAGCATGGTCATTTGAGACAATCAAATATTCCCTAAATAAACAGTCTGTTTAAGATGTGACTCCCCTATTCATCTGTCTTGCGGTACCATCCCCACTGGCTCCTTGTAGGCCTACGTCAGCTTCCTGATTCTGCGGTTCTGCTTGTCGATGGTCCAAGTTGCCCGGTCCACCGAGGAAGTGATGGTGTCAAGAGTTTCATCGTGCCTTTCCAGTTCCGTCTCTGTTTCCAGCGCAAGACTCTTCAGCTTCCTCAGTATCTATCAAAAGAATATGTCAAGAGTAGAAAGACTCTTTATTTCTCTTTGGACAGGAAGAGCAATGCACAGTCAAAACATTAAGCAATGATCTCCTACCTCCATGCTTCTGGCAAAATGGCTGAGCTAAACTTTCCGGCATTGGACATGCGGGGAGACAAGGCCATTGCCTTGATAAACTAGACATGATGCAATGAGTGATCTTACAGTGGAAGAGGGACAGACTGAAAAAAAAAAAGAGGTTAAGAAAAGCAAGGTTATGAAGATCCTCAGTCAAGACATTTGCTCTTCTTGTTGTCTCAGTTACAGCTGAGTTGCTACGTGTAGTTATTGCGGAAGCAGCAAGTCTTAAGCAATGATTTGAAAAGGGACAGGAGTGTGGCTTGACAGAAGACAGCTGAGAAAACAAAGGTCTGGAGATGGCTGCAGAAGTCAACTGAAGAACTGAGGTGGGAGCAGCAGGACGGTGGTCACATGGCAAAAGACTACATGAAATGGGGAGGTTGGATAAAAGGAGGATGGACAGATAACTGGCTGGGGTATTATGATCCCAGCACTCGTTCCTGCCCAGGGCAGGGGGTTGGACTTGATGATCTTTTCAGATACCTTCTGACCCTAGAAACTATGAAATATTTAGGTGGGAGTGAGGAAAGATGGAGACTCCATGCCTTAAAAACCTTGGTAGGAGTAGAGTGGACGAGATGTTAGGAAGATGGGACAAGCTGTTCAACCATGATGAAGTGAAGAATCAGAGAAAGTGAGGGCTGGAAGGGACCTTAGGAGGTCATCTAGAGCAACCCCCTGCTCAAAGCAGGACCATCCTCGCCATGTCATTCTCTTCTTGGTCCTACTCAAAGCAGGACCAAGAAGGGAATGACATGGGCAGGGATTTGAAAAGGAGGAACATCAGTGTTTTAACATAAGCCAGGAAGCTTGTACTCTATGGGGTGGAAGGTGAGGAACTATGGACTAGAGAGGCCAGCGGGACTGAGGTTGTAGTCATTGAAAATAGGAAATGAGTGACTGCCATGCTACGCCAGGCTACAAGCTAGAGGCCCACACAAGCATACGATTACAAACAAGCTTCAGTTAGCTTAGCAAATTACCATTATCACGTGCGACGGCACTCAAATACCCAGTGCGACTACACGATAACCACTTTGCGACCCTGCTCTCTGTAGTGCCGGAGGAAGCCTGGTTCAGATAGGGCAGAAGGCTCTGAGGCGAGGGTGAAAAACCCAGGCTGAGGCAGGTTTAAAGCCAGAAGGTGTCATCTGAGATGACCTACTAGGGCTTTTTCAAGCTCCAATTTCTATGATCTTAAAAGCAAATCCCCCAAAACAGAGATCCAAGCAGCAAAAGAGAAGTATTCAAATCCCCTTGTCACTGGCCTGGCTCTTCTGCAGCCATTTCAGAAGGAAAATTACTTCCCTGCCTCTTCTATCCTCCAGGAGCAGCTCCCTTCACAAGCCACCTGTTCAGCCTGGCTGATTTGTCCAACAAGACGCTGCTTCCTTTCCTTGGACAGATGCATCAGCTGGAGGTTTGGGATGCTTGCTTCAAATCACAGAGATTGAGGACTACATTTCTCATTTCCCCAGTATTAGAAAGTGGTTTTCTCTGCTGTTGTTGCTTATCCAGACATACCCTGACTTCTTGTATAACAGCAAAGCTATCACAGCTCACCTTGATTGTAAAGGGTGATTTATTTGATCTTTTTTAATAAACTATTCTCTCTTTTTGGATTCTTTCACAATGGTATGCAGCCACTTAAATAATGGTTTCTTATTTGTAATTATTCTATTGGTACCTGTTGAATGTAAGGCTTCTGTGTCAGGCACGTTGGTTATAGCTGTGTTGGTGTAAGGGCATAGGCAAACAAGGTCCTTTGGCTAAATGTGATATTTTTTTATTAGACCAACTAAATAGTTTGAAAAATTGTTCCTTGCAAGCTTTCGGGTACAAGTACACTGCTTTGGGCACAGGGAGAGTCTGCTGGTGTTTGGGTGGCTTTTGCAGTATCAAGCACATGGGCAACTGGTGCCTCCTGAGTCTGGGGGGGCACCAGATTACCGGTGGAGCGGGGGGTGCCCCAGAGAAACTGGAAGTGCACTTCCAGTTTTGCAGCTGGCACTTCCAGGGGGTGCACGGTCAATCTCAGTAGGTGCATGTGTACCCCCTACGCGTCGCCAATGATCAAGCTGAAAGAGACGGCTGGAGAAAACAGAGAGAGTGGAAGGGGAAGAGATGCTTTGATGATCTAAAATGTTCGTTCCTAAGTGGCATCTCTAATGCACCTTTAATCCAGAGCTCTTTATATTTAAAATGAAATTTATTAACTAAAAGGATCAAAGGGAGCAGAAGGGCACAGAAGCCCCCATGGCTCACCAAAAGCATCCGGGAATGTCTCCTAGCTAAAAGGGAGGCACACACCCAATGGCAGGGAGGGGACATCCCCAGGGAGGACTACACTGCAGTTGCTCGGGGCTGCAGGGGGGCAGTCAGGAAGGCCAAGG